CGTTATAATGTGACGGTCAATCCCACTATTCGTTGGTAAAAGAGTAGCCCAAGAGTTGGCGGTGGGTGGTGATGACTAGCTGCCTTCCCTCTAGTTTAACACTGCTAAATTAGGGAGAGCTAGCGCAGATAGCCCTTGTGTAGCTTTGCACAAAATTCAAAACAAACAAATACTTGATATAATTGTTAATTCAGTTTATAATTTTAATGTAATCAAGACAAGTAGGGATCAATATATACATAACCTAGCTAGCTATGGTAATAGAAAATTTTAATGCTACAAAAAGTACTGAAACAAGACAGTCAAAACTACAAAAGTGAGTTACTTAAAATCTAAAAACATTTATCCCTCCTTTGGCTCATAATAACATAATTACAGTAATTATGCCAAAGTAAGGATAAAAAAATTTTAATTTGAAGTAACTCAGTTTTCGCATTTTTGATTTTCTTATTTCAATACATTTTGTAGCATTAAAACTTTATATAATACTATAACTAGCTAGTTTACATATATATATATTAATCCCTACTTGTTTTTATAAAATTGAAATTTTTTTATTATACTTGTATTAGTTAAGAACAGTACCTGTTGTAGAGTATTATTAGTTAGAAAATAGCAAGTGAAAGTAACTATAAATATTATTTGTTTAAAAATACATATTTTACTGCAGTCCAAGTTTGGTGGAAAAAAAGAGCAAGTAAAATAATGATGCATATTATTATTTAAAAAAGATTTTGTTGCAGTCTACTGATGGTGAGAAAACAGCAAGTGAAGATAACAATGTATAATGTTGGTTTTTAGAAACAATACTTTGTTGTAGTCTAGCGTTGGTTAGAAAAAAACAAATGAATATAACAATGTATAATGTTTGTTTTTAAAAACAATACTTTGTTGTAGTCTAGTGTTGGTTAGAAAAAAGCAAGTGAAAATAACCATGTACATGTTTATTTACAGATTGCAGGGCTAGTATCATCTGTTCTTATGCTGGTGGTATTGTTAGTTTTAGCACCTATGTTTTATAATTTACCAAAAGTAAGTAGTTTAAGTAACCTTTTAAAAGTATTATTTGTAATCAATAGAAACATACTCAGATTAGTCTTACTAATGTATAGGAGTAATGTATTTCCTGATAATGAAAAACATCACACATTCCTTAAAATCAGTGCATTCAAAATTCATGAATCCGTGGCTAGATTACTTTTATTTAACAATAATAAAAAAAAAGATGCATTAGCAATCATAGCTTTCCTCTGTAATAAATTTACTCAACAAGACTCTTAGCTTTATTTTCAGTATGTTAAAGAATTGTTTTTGTAAATTTGTCCTTAATAAAACTTGGTCATTAGTTTTATTCTGCTTGTAAAATTAATATGGAATATACCTTGTGTAGCATTAAAATAAAACTACATTTCTGTATTATGTATGCATTTTACTTGATGTAGCTTGTAGGTATTTTTAAGATCTTGTTTTGCAGTTCTTTAGTATGCATGTGTTTTATGTCTAAATGGTTTGTTCAGTAATTTCATGTGCTTGCTCTTTATAGTCATAATGGTTTATATGAGGAATATGTTTTTGTTTATTAAGTATGTTTACTTTCTATTTTTAGTGTATTCTGTCCTGTGTAATTCTGGTAGCACTGAAGGGAATGTTTATGCAGTTTTTAGACTTGAAGACAATTTGGAGTGTGTCCCGAGTTGATGCTGTAAGTATCCGTATACCATAAATACCTGCATATAGTGTGACCCTGCAAATAGTGCACAGAATATATTTTAGACTTGCATACTAGTAAAAATCAGTATGCCTATGTACAATGCACAAAGCAATTATAACAGCTGACCAGCCTTTGTGTAGTGAGTTGTGTATTGCTATGTTGATTAGTAATTGTACATAAGTGTATGAGTGAATACCATTGCCAACTAATTAATCTCATTAAAAATAAATATGAATGATCGGCACTTGTGTATTGTCTAAAATTTAATAAATAATTAAAATCAACGTTTCATATTTACACAATTTTAAAAACTTAATTGAAGCCATCAATGGTTTCCACTTTAAAAGTATACTCTACCTGTACAGTGTTTCGACATCATCTACATCATTTCAGGAGTTATCTGTAAGACATACTAATTTATACATTTTGTTTTTCCTGCCACATGATGTTACATTGCTTTTTGTATTTAAAAAAAAGTATTAAACAGAGATGAAGGTCCATCAAGTCAGAGCATTGATAATTGATGTGATGAAATATAAAAGTTGACTAAGGAATTATGTAAATTTAATTGTTTATTAAATTTTAATCTCATTACATAATGAACAAATAAAGGCTGAAATTATGTTCCAATATGATTCCTTACCTCATCTCACATAATAAATTTTCTTGTTTAGTTCTTTCCTCTATATGCACAAATCTTTTGCTTACCACTGCCCTTAATACTTCCACCTACCCCATGTGTTTAACATGATACAGCTGCACTGTAGCATGCAAGTAAACATGCAACACACCCTCCTGGTGCAGCTGGCTCCTTCTATACTGTAGAACCCAATCTTCACTTCTTAATTTGGCACTGTAGCATGAAGATGTGTTCAAATTTTGCTTGTGTTTGACTTAGATTTTTGCTTTTTCAATTTCTTCAACAGTTTAGTTGTTTCTGATTTTGTTTTTTCTACAGTTTAACTTGAATTACTGTAGGTTGTTACTTTTGTTTCTATCCGCAGTTGACTTATAAATTTGAATTTTAAATCACTACTATTACTACCACAGTAGTTACCAGTACTACTGTACTTCAACCTGCAGTTTCTCAGGCTTCAGGCTCCACACTTTCAGCTGAGGAGGTCTCAGTTTTAGTATGTCGTGAATTGGAGTCCATTATGCGGCATGTGGTGCCCTCCTGATCTTAGACAGGTGTTCCTTTTCCTGGTGAACCTGGACAAAACTATGATGATTTCATAGTTCTTTCCACCTTCTTCCTTTGCTGTGCAATCCCATCTTCTGCCTGTGGATGCTCCCAGACCATTTTCAGCCTTTCTGGATATGGTGTGATTGGTATGTTCCCTTTTGTCTGTGTTTCATGATTTCTCTCCATCCCTGTTGCACTCCTCCCTTCCTCTGACTACCTGTTTTTCCCTGCTTTCCAGATATTGGGATCCATGCTGACCAGTTTGTAGCACAGTTGTATTCTGGGGTAAGCATGATTCATCCCCCTCATACCTCAGGTAATTGCACTTTGGCATACCATAATTTGGATTGTCCATTTCTTGACTCTCAAACCTTAGTGTATTTTATCCAGGTGTGGAGTTCTGAACCTGATATCTCTGTGAGATAGCCCCAAGCCCAATTTTCCCACTTCCGTTTGTTCCTGTTCTTTTCCACCCTCCTGAGACACCTCTCCTCCATCCATTTCCTGTCCAAGGCTATCCACCTCTCCCTTGTGGGTTTTTTGGATGATACTCATTCCCTTATGTATTCCAATTTGGCATGCTTATCTTCCTTAGCCCTTTCCCTTCAAACGTGGCTCTTCTGTTGTTGGGATCTCCTGGCTAGGGATAAGCTGTTAACTAATGTGCACCTACTCACATTTACAGGACCTCCATTTAGCCCTATTTTTACATAGAACAGTTTTAGAAGATCTACCTGACTCTTTGGAATTCGAGGAGGAGGATGTTCCACAGCATTCCTCCCTTTTGTCCTTGGTCTCATCTGTCACAGCCTTTGCCTGCTCCTGTTCTCGTTTCCCCCTCTCCTCATTCTGCCCCTTTGCCTGTTCCTGTATCCTGAGTCTGGATGGCTAGTTGCCAAATTACTCATTGGCAGACCACCACCGCCAATGGTACCAGTGACTATCCTGTAGGTTCTGGCAAGGTCAGAGCACATTTGGCCAAATTTGTGCATTTATGGAATGATTTCATTTCGGGTGTTGTCAGAAGGTCCTTCCCTTCATTTTCTCAACCCTCCTACCTCCTTGGGATCCTATTTCTTGCCAGTGTCTCTCCAAAGCAGTTCAGACTCTTCTTCTCAGGGATGCTATAGAACATGGCAGTCATCCTTTCCAGGATTCTAATCCAGGTTGTGTATAGTTTCCAAGAATACTGGGAGCTGTTGTTCTGTTATAGATATTTCATACCTCAATCATTTAATCAACTTTCCACATTTCACCATGGAGTCCTTTCTCGCACATCGATGAGTTTTTTACTCTGGCTCTTTAGATGATGAAGGTGGATGTCGTGGATGTGTACCTTTCACATCCCTATTTCCCTAACATCCGTTAACTTTGTCTTCTCCACAAGGGTCAAGTTTATTAATTCTGTGCTTTGCCATTTAGTCTAGTGTCTGCAATCTACATATTTTGTCGGGTGGTCAGGACCTTTGCTCGACTTCTACTTTTTCATGGTCTGTGTTTCCATCATTACATGGATGACTGGCTGCTATTAGCTCCATTCTGTCAGACATTTCATGTGCCCACCCAGTTGATTCTTAAAGAGATGGCTTTTCAAGTTGGAGAAATATTTTCTTCTTCAGACCCAATAACTTATCCACTTGGGAGTGTTTTTCAATTCCTGTCTCAGTCGGTCCCACCCTTCTCCACTTCATTTGTGAATGATGGAACTATTAGTTCTCAAGGCTGTATCCTCTCCTTCTCTTACTGAATGTGAGATTCTTTCCCTTTTAGAAACATGGACTCATTTCCTTTGGTTGTGCTCATATGTATGCTATTCAGTTGGTGTTACATGATCAGTGGAATTTTGTTCAGGATCCCCCTGGACTCTGCTATCCTTCTCCCTCTCTCACTTCTCATCAATCTGTCCTAGTGGCTGAACAGAGACACCACCACAATGCCCCCCATCCGGAGTTGCATCTTTTTACAAACACTTCTCTGACAGGTAGAGGAGCAATTATGGATACACAAGAAATTGTGGATCATTGGTCTTTGTTCAGATAGGCTTTCCACATGACTGTGCTGGAGCTTCTTGCCATTCATTGAGCTCTGGATCATTTCCTGCCTTTAATACGAGGCAAATTGGTCATGATCCATTCCAACAATTCCATCATTGTCTCATATATCAAACAACGAGGGGGGTTACCCATTCATGTTCACTTTGTTTCTGGACATTAAAACTCTTATTCTGATTCATTCACATTGCACACACCTACTGGTACATTCTTTTCTGGGTGCTCTAAGTCTTGTTGCGGATTGATTGTCTCTTCCTGACAAGATTCCTCCCACAGAGTGGTCCCTCAATCCTGAGGTGTTTTGGTGGTTGTTCAACCAGTGGGGTACTCCTGGATGCATTTGCCACCAATCTCAGTTCAAATCTACCTTTGTTTTGGTCACCAATTCCACATCCTTTGGCTTTGGCAGTGGAAATCTTCAGTCAGGATTGGTTCCACCTTTATCTTTATGCCTATCCACCTATTTGTTTCCTTCCCCTAGTTTTATCCATTATCCAGTCCACACTGTGTCAGGTCCTTCTCATCACACCTTTTTTGTCCTGCTTAACCTTGGTGTCTTTTCATTTTCCATTTTTAGGTATATTATACTTTATTTTTTGCTGAACTTCTCCTATGATTAAACAGTATTTGTTCATATATATAATAAGGTGTAGTTAAGCAAGATGTATATAGTAAGTGCAATACTATAAAGGTAAAAATATTTGTAGATCTCTAATAGAAACAGTCTGCATATAATAAGGTTATCTTATTTTTTACAAGACATGCTTATATATATACAGTGATATGTAATTGACTGACCGTGTGCAATAGATGCAATACTATAAATAAGAAACACATGGAAGTCCCATAAAGGAAACTTTAACAGTGTTTAAACAATATGTTTGGATAACTAAAATACTTTAAGGTATAGTTAACAGAATTATGTACAGCAGGGTCACTGCTTTAAGTGTAAAACCACAATCAGTAGTATCATAGAAAAACTGGGTACACAAAAGAAATGTGTCCATTGTTTAAACAACACTTGTTAACAAATAACATACTTTAAGGTGAAGGTGACAGAAATCTTTACAGCATTCGCTTTAAGTGTAACTCAGTAGAAAAACTGTGTACACAGAAGAAACGTATTTGATATTTAAATAATATTTGTTAATAAACAAATGAAATTTAGGCCTAGTTGACATAATTCTATACAGCAGATTCACTGATTTAAGAGTAGAAACCAGAATAATTCGTTTCATAGAAGTACTGTCTACTAAGAATAAACTTGTCCATTTTGTAAACAAAACATTTTAATAAATAAATTAAGGTATAGTTGACAGGATTATGTACAGAAGTGTAAAATCACATTCATTAGTATCATACAATCACAGTGTATATAGAATAATCATGTTGTTTCAAAATTATTTGTCAATACTTTTATTTTTGTATAGTAAGTGCAGTACTATAAAAGTAGAACTTTACATAAGAAGTATCAGAGATATGTAATATACATAGAACTTATATATATATATATATATAAACAATATTTGTTAGTATATACAAAAATTATATTTGATTGAAATGTTTTCATTGGTTGCAGTTTGTAAGGTAAATCCCATGTAGAAATATCTTAGAATCACATTGCTCATTTCTTATGTTTTAACAAAGTTTGTTAATT